CAGACTCCAATAACAAGCAGTCCCAAACTTAGACAAACATGTTCCCCCGTCTTTTAGAAACCTGCTTATTATCCCAGAAAAAATACTAGGACTTTATTCAAACTCTTAAAATGCAAGAAAAGGGACATTTGTCACACTTTTATGTTAGGGGATTAGACATATTAAACTTTAAACTCCTATGAATCCAACAAAGCAGCATCAAATACATAATTTTGCCATTAAACTCTTAGTCTGTTCTAATTTAGAAGCTTCTAACCTGAGATCATCTCCCTTCTGCCCTCATCCAGGTGAGAGGAAACCACGTCTCCCATGGTGACAGGAGATCCTCAGAGTATCCCAGCTGTAGTAACTCCCAGGTCAGACTTCCAAGACTCCAACGCCCTGCAGGGAATTCTGCTTCAGGCTCCTACTCAGGATGGTGCTGCTTTGGCTGCCCTCCTGTTTTGCTCCAAAAAACCCAGAGAGAGAGAGGAAAGAGGAGGAGTAGGAGGTGAACACTGCTCTCTTTCACAGCAAAGCAACAGGACACACCCTCTGGGAGTCATCACTGGTCCAACGTGTTCAGTTGGCCATGCCAAAGGTGTGGCCTCCACCAGGAGAGCCTGGTAACACTTCACTCAGTTTCTTATTACTTGTTTGAAGTCATTTGAGTTTAGATAAAGAAATATAAAGTATTGGTTTTAAAATATTTTTTCTCAGATATAATAATTAGATTCATGTTCCCTGACTTTAAGTTGCCACATTTTGTTAATATTGTGTTGAAGTTTCCTTAGTATGGATAAGAAAACTGAAAGCATACCTGCTGTTGGGACTTTCTAAAAGCATGTTACTGCTGCCCCCTTGTGGAAAGATTCAGGACTACACAGGTTTCAAAAATGCTCATATAGGTAAGTCATAAAAAATTGCACACAATAGCCTGAAAAAGTATGTGGGTCCAGAACTTCTAATTTCATTTAACCAAGCTGCACATTTATGTTGTTATGGTCAGAAGCAGCAGAATGAAAATTTGTGAAAACATCAATTTGTGAAAGCATGGAAACCTGCAAAATATGAACATTTTACAGGACTGCATGAGTCTTCCTGCTTGGATGGAACATGTAAAATATGAGGCGTGACACATTCTCAGAGACTGTTCTGTAAACACTCCTGGAAGTAAAAGGAAAGCCATTATGCATAAGTATTTTATTAAGTAAGAAGGAAGCCTATGGTTTGGGGAAAATAGTAAACATATATCTTAAGTTCTGGTAAGTAACCTGCAAGTTTACTGAAGATGATTGGTAAGTGCTGGTGAAACAGCTTTAACATAAAACCTGCAGATTTTATAAAGGTACTATAAACAGGGAAGCACCATGAGTTTTAAAACAATAGGAAAGTACCCTGTAACTAGCCTTCAAGTTTCACAATGGAGCATTAAATATTATTAACCTGTGGGTTTTAAGAAAGCAAATAATTAATTGTATTAAAGTTCTAGTTTAGTTAAGCTAAGCTCTAGGTACAGTGATATGAGAGTTCCATAAAGGGTTTTGTGAATTCCAGTAGGGGGCCGAGAAATTCTTGTAATCTAATCTGTAAATTTTAATAAAGGAGTAACTTCCGGGAAAGTAACCTGTAATAACAGCATTGTAGACTGAAAGTTTTAGAAAATATGTCTCCATGTTTCTGTTAGGTAACTAGTAATCACTAGGAAATATTACAAGGTTTGGAAAAGTTGCATAAAGTATCTTGTAGATCCAGAGGGGACTCCAAGTTCTGGAAACTGAAATCCGAATCCATTAGGTTTCAAATAGGAGAAACTTTACGTTAATATTGGGAAAGTACCAATACATTTTGGAACAATAAGCAAGCAATGACCAAACAAGTAGCCTGGGATTTCCAGGAATGTAAAACATACTGTGTAAAGCTCTGGAAAAATATATATTTTTTTAGTTTCAGGGATATGCAGCAGATTTGTCTTTTCAATGTTTCAGACGTCCTCTGTGAGTTTTAAAAACTATCATGCACGTTTCTGAAAATCTGGTTTTAAGTTCCAGGAGAGTATCCCACAATTTCCCAAAGGAATTAAGCTGTAAGATACAGCTGAGCTTTCTTAAATTTGATGTGCTGAGTAGGTATAAATTTGAGGAAATCTCATTTAAAGTTATGGGATAGAACCATGGGCGTATTCTGGCAAAGACAGGCAGGGGGCCCTCTGATTTGAGAAGACAACGTAAAACAGACCCACAATACAGATGCAGAAATTTTAATAGAATAGACATACATTATTTGTTCTACCTTTTGTCCTTTTCTTGTTGTTTTCCTCTCTATATTTTGTTCTCAGCTGATTTTTCATGCTGTCTTAAAAAGGAATTAAAGATTTTTTTTCCAATCACTAAGCTCACTTAGCTGATTGCTCCTTCCTGTGTTTCTAAAAAGGCGACGGCAAAAGTAAATAACCCAGTCCTTCTTTTCACTGTAGACAAGCCATGATCTGCTTCTCTGTTCTCCATTTTACATTTGTATGAAGTTATAGCTGCGTGAATCATGACAGCAGACAAGATAGAGGAGAGCAGGAGGCGGGGTTACCAATCTACTTGCTCTGGAGAGCAGAGTTCGCTGCTTTTATATGTTGTCGCCAAAGTCTCAACTAGCAGAAAAAAGTCGCTAGATTTGGAGTTTAGGTGCTATTTTGAAATAAAAGAGCTAGAGGGGTCTGAACGTTGCTAAAAATAGCAACAACAGCACTACTGCTCTTCACATTGTTTGTTTTCAAATGGTTTGCTGCTGTCTGTTTGGACCTTTCTGAACCTGTGCAGCAAATGGACTGATCCAATATGGTGGAGCAGTGAAAGGATTTTTATCAAAAACATAATTAATGTGCATATAAATAAGGAATAGTGTATTAACAATACATGTAAACATAGTTTTATGCCCATCCCCCCTCACACACAGAGGCGGAGCTAGATGAGGGGCCACCCTTAGCCAATCATTGGCCACCCATGGGGCCACCCCTACCACTTTTTCTCTCAAGTAGAATATTCAAAACAATAAAATTTTATATATATTAACAATTACTTGACAACAAAAACACTGTGGTTACTAGAGATGATTAGTACAGAATTATTCATGCTCTTTCAGTACTAGATTTTTTGTTATATGCCATAAACAGATAATGATGTGTCTCTGCAAGTCATCTAAGAGTCTTCAGTGAAATAATACTGTAAATAACTATTTTAATAAAAACCTATTAAATGATCATAAAATGTAGATATTAGTACTTGTAAATATCAATTTAATGCAGAATGATATTGATAAAAGTAGGTAAGTAATGACGATGGAAAGGATGTTCGCTCCAGAACTCAAACCTGAAAGAATTTTATCCAATATACCTTTGATCTAGACAGATGTTTAAATATATGCATCTATTTGTTAGCGAAGTCTGTAAGAAACTATAGTTAGTCTTTATTTAGAAATATGGACGTTGTGCTTGTTCCTGTTGGAACAGTGTAGATTGACCCTGAGGTTCTGGTGCCTATCCACTTTGGTTATTGCCTGGCCACCCTTATAAAAAAAAAAGAAGAAGATCCTAAAAGTTACAGGAAGGTAACACATGATTACACGTTATAAGACTTTATCTCGTGTCTATTTTCTTTACCTCAAACTGTATTAAGAGAATGCATGAAACATGAAGGGATGGAGGTTAAAATAGGTACCTAAATGGCTTCCTCTTAATAAAAATTTAAATAAAAGTGTTGTTATGTCAATGTCTAATTTATTTATATACAGTAGCACTTTTAAAAAAGGTATAAAACTGCGCCAAAGTGCTTTACAGGAAAGTCAACACCAATTAACAAAACAGAATGCGAAACACTGCTTTAATTAAAAGCCGAAGAATAAAAATAAGTTTTAAAAAGCGATTTAAAATGATCCTGGTAATGGTAAAGAGGTTTCTGGTTCCTTGGAGTTGGAGTTGCGTTTGAGTCTGTGTCAGTGTTAGTTGTTTTTTATTGTTTGGGCTTCTCTTTCTCGACTGGGATTTTAATTTTTCTCTGTTTTTAGGATGAGGTGGTGCTTTTCCGTTTTTGTCTTTTTATGTTAGTATCTTAATCTTTATTTCTTTTCGGTCAGGGAGCGGGTGTCAGTGTGCCGGTGTCGGTCTTGGCTTTTCATTGTTCCTGTTTCTGGTTCGGGTCCGGGGTGGAGGGTTTTGGTTCTGTTTCAGTTGCTGTCTCTGTGTTTTTTCTTTGTCTCTGTCTCTTTATTTTGAATTGTCCTACTGGGATGTGGCTTTGATGAAAGCATGGATAAGTCCTTCAAAGTCCTTCAAACAAAAATAGGATTTAATTTTTGCTAAAATGCTTGATCTAACAACAGAGCTAACTTATTTGTCTAGCTTTAAGCAGATGTCAAAACTAAAACCAAGATTCCTAGCAGAGGTCTGACAAAACTGAGCTAAAGAACCAAGAATTAGATCTGGATTGAAGACTCTGACCAAATAATATAACTTGAGTTTTACTTTGATTAAGGTGAAGAAAGTTTTGTTCCATCCAAGATATGACTTCAGCAAGTCAATCTATCAATAGCTGAAGAGATTCATTTCCCCCATTTTGTAGTTTAAGGGGCATAAAAATTTGAACATCATCTGCAAAGAAATGAAAAGAAACACCAAACTTATGGAAAATCTGACCAAGAGGCAGTAAATACAAAATAAACAAAATAGGACCTAGAATTGAGCCTTGAGGAACGCCATACTTTAAAGGTTTTGCCCCAGATCAGCATTGGTCAAGATGAACTGTAAAAGTTCTCTTTTCTAAACAAGATTGAAACCATTCAAATACTGGGGGCTCTCAGGTCAACATTATGTTTTAATCTGTGTAAGAGAATCTGATGATCTACAGTGTCAGATCTAAAAGTAAAAAAACTGCAAAAATGATGGTTAATTAGGGAAGCTGGGTTCCATGATCACGGATGTCACCTCCTCCCACCAATGAGGTGGAGGATGGTGCGGAAAGGAGACGCAGTGACGTTTCCAACTGGAGGCTCCTGCGCTGCGGACGGAGAGAGAGAAACGACCAGAGAGGAGGGAGGAGGCTCATCGCTCCGTGCAGCACTCGGTAGCATCATGGCACCTATCGGATTAAAGGCGGTGGTCGGAGAAAGTAAGCTTTTCTTTCCTGTTTTATGAAGCTTAATGGTGTTGATGTTAAAAAGCTGCGCTTTAAATGAGCGGAGATGGAGGCTGCAGGCCTGCATCTCCATGATGGTGGTGCTGCTGATAGGTGGATCGCTGTAAATCACTTGATCTCCTGCAGAGGGTCGGATGGTCTCCATGGGAGCCTGCGGTGCTGATGCGCATATAACCCCCCCATCCAAGCGCTGGGAAATAAAAAGGAGGATTATACAACCTGAAGATTAAAATTATTAGTCTAGTAATAGAGGTGATAATTCATTTTTGAAACTGGACATTAAAGCCTGTCTGCAAAAATAACCATCCAAACACGCCCTTTTACAGCCAATCAGCGTTTAAATCAGGAATAGTCCGCAGCAGCACGCGCGCGCGCGCGGCCGTGCAGGAATAACCTGCAGTGTGATCAGATCCATGGAGTTTAAATAATAAAAGATAAACGGAGATCAGCGGGTTTCCCTGATCAGAGCCTCACCCCTCTGATGGAGTAGCCTACATTTCTGTTGCGTAAAAAGCCACTCAGCGCGCACACGGATGTGATGGAAACTGTTTGCTTTGTTCATCCTCTCTGACCTAGTGAAACGTAGTGGAAGTTTGGCGCTATCTCTGCTTTAAAGGCCGTTTCTTTATTTTGCCGTTTGGACTCGATGCTGTGTGGGTGATGGAGGCCTTCATGTGGAGGTGCAGCTCGGTGGTGGAGAGGATGAGATGCAGGCCTGCGCCTAAAATCCGGATTTTTTTTGCGTTTTCTGATGGATGTTGTGAAGAAGCTGCTTGACTTGGCCCTATAATCAAATGGGGGGTTGGTTGGTGCAATAGTCACCCATACAAATGTGTCATAGATGAAGAAGTTGAACATGGTTATGTGCTATATCCTAGTACCTCTAATTGAAAGTCAGTCACTCATTCCTGACCCCACAATAAACCAGATACCATGATGCACAATTTGTAATGCAAATGCTTTCTGTACTACTGCGATACTTCCCTCTATAAACCTGAAGTATCAAATACATACTACATTAACAACATCATTTCTACACCTGTATATAAGCCATCCGTATTGTACATATTTTTATTTCTCATTTTTATTTTGTTTTTCATTGTGTGCGATACATGTACACTTGCACCTTAATCCTATTTATCTTGATATACTGTATATACCTGGATATACTGTATATATATTGCTTATTCTTAATGCACCTTTTTCCTCCCTGTTTTCACCTTCTGTAACTTCTATGCCAATATGTGACGAGTGAATTTCTCCGCTGTGAGATCAATAAAGCTCATCTAATCTAACCTAATCTAATCTAATCTAGTTTGTGTCCCTCTATACTTAAGCTAAGATTAGGGAGGCAAAATCCACATTTTTCACCTCCAATAGGATTCCGATAATTAAATCTGAATATGTGCAGATCCAGATAATTTTCTGATACTGTATCTGATTGCTTTAAAGTGACATAGTGTAAAAAAATCCTCTATTTTAATGCTTGAAATCATAGATTGCAATTATATATTTGTTATTATTAGTGTGTTCTTACTTTCACTAATAATCAGATGTATTTTTAATCAGCGAATAATTCTATATTAGTTTATACATAAGGCTGGTTCACCCATTTGCATAGAACCAAGACAGTCTGCCATCTTGAAAATACAGACACCGGAGAGGGATAAAATAGTACCAACGCCTTACTGGCATTTCAGTGTGATTTAGAGGTGAAGATAATAGACTAATCCAACTGAAAGTCTGTTCTGCTGCAACACAATGCAGAACTATGTATATGCAGCAGCAGCACAAGAAATGGTTTCACCATCCACAAGCAAGCGAAAAAGAGAACTTAAAAGTCAAATAAACTGGAGAGATCTAAAAAGGAGAATAAACATTTGGCAAGCCTTCTCCAGGTGGAAGGAGCTAATGAAGGTGAAAGATTTTAAAAAGGGACACAAGTGACCTTGACAAGTGAACTGTGCTGCCTAACTTAGCATAAATCAAACTTTTTCCATTCCGTTTAATTCGATTGTGTTGCTCGTTACTGTAAAAAGCATAATCCTAAATCATGCAAACATATTACAATCTTATTTGTGCAGAAGTGCATGTTTGTGCGGGTTTAGTAGCTTTCAAAGCTGCGGTGAATGTTGGATTTTTGTCAAAGTAAAAGCCAGCTTATTGAGACTTCACGGTTACATCTGCGTTCTCAAACGGTCTACTGTTGCTGCATCTCGTAGTTAAGGCAGTGATGCACTATTTAGGGTTTGTTTGAGTGAAATAACCCCATCTCACCACAAGATGGCAGTAATTCTTACACAATATCCCTTTAATGTTTTCATCCTTACTGTTGATTTAAATTACTGTCATGATATATATGAATAGAGTTATGTTGCAAAAGGTAACTTGATGTGTAAATGACAAAAAAAGTCATAAAAAGAAATCATTTAAAGTTCAATTCCATCCTAAAAAAATAAATAGGAAAATATACTGCATTTATGAAATCAAAGCCCATAAAGGGGTGAAGTTTTCTGATGTTTAAGAGATAATTAACATACATTTACTATGGTAATAGATTAAAAGGGATCCCATACATCAAGCCCATTTCTACCGATACCCAGTTGACAATATTCTTTAATATCAAGACAAAGACAGATACTAGTGTTGGATTGGTGCATCTCTGGCCAAGACTGAAGCTTGCAATTAGAACAAAAATATCAGCCAGTTTTTAGCTCTTATCATTTATCTGCACATCAAAGACAAAGAAACACATATATTTGTATCTTATCCAATAAATGAGTCTATGCAAGAATGAATTAAATTTATTCTACTTTATAAACATTTATGCAAGAATTAAGTTTTAGCTAGCCCTATAATGCCAAATGTATCATATTTGATACATACGGTTTCTGAAATGTTTTGCATAATTAAATGGTAAAAACTTTGCTCAAAATCCTATTGTACACAATCAGATATACCTGATAACAGCGGGCAGAAGACTACACAAAAAATAATCTTGACTTATCGCATAGTAATAAATTATTAATATCAAAAATGTATTTCTGTTTTTTCTTTTTACATATTTTGTTAAAAGGGCAAATAAGTATTCAAACCAAAAAAAAGCCATTTTCTGTTTTGTTTTATTCTTGGATCGGGCTTTAAAGTGCTAGGTTAGCATTCGAAAGGGATTCAAATACCCAAAGCACTCTTTTATTTGTATTTTATGTGATTTACTCCTAAGGAGAAAAAGTAAATAAAAAAATTATATATAGATTCAAAATTGGAATCAGACAAAAAAAAAAAAAACTCATCAGAAATTTGTGCCAGCCAAGGAAAAACATATTGGTTCATCTCAAGGTATGATATATATTTATGTTGTGTTTTAGTCCCAGAAGATGATAAAACAGATTAAAAATTAAATCTACATCTTTTAGAGATTTATTTTAAATTTTTTCCATTTCAAATTTGACATATATTTTGCTATATGACCAATATGTAAGAAGAACACATAATTATAGGGGCTTGATGATTTAAAGTCAATATGTTAAACCTCCCCAACAGGACGGTTGGTGCATCTTTCTCTAATTTTAAATGGTAAACATGCAGTATCGGTTGAATATTTGTCCACAGCAGTGTGGTTTCTTCACTAAAATAGAAGTTAGATTTGGGATCAGTTTTATTTGAAGCCTACCACCATAAATTTCTCTTACCACACGGCAATATTCTATTATATTACTGTGCCATTTTTAATTATTTAAGCACGCTAGCTACCAATTACATAAGTGGGTTTGTAAAACAGGAAGCAGGCCGAATGTAGGCTGAGCTTTGGGTGAATCATCTCTCCAGAACTGTGTAAACATCGCGTTTTTCCCTGAAGGTAGCGGCATGGAAACGGGAGGCAACACCTTCCCTATGTGGGGCTGAGGTGGAGCTGCGGTGGGATTGGTGGTGGTGGAGAGGGGAGGGGGGACTCCATCATGGTTCCTGCTGCAGCAAGGATGAAGGAAGGGTGAAGAGGAGGGGGATGGGCAGCGGGCCGAGGCTCACCCTCATCGTTTTATTGCTGGATGTGAGCATCGGCTGCAGGGAGCAGCAGAGGGAAAAAAGGATGAAAAAGGGACAACGGTCAGGAAACCTGAGCTTTTCCTTAGCTGTGATCTTGATTCGATTTAAAGCTGTAATCTATAATAAAGAAAAGGAAGTTTGATGCATGTAGGACACCAGTGATCCCTTTACTGTTATTTCAAACTTATTATTGGCTGTTTTAAGATTGTCATAAAAACCTTGACAAAAAAAGAAGCCATTGATCACTCTACTGAACAAGTGAAATATTTTAAATCATTATTAATCATTCATAACCATGGTGCACGTATTTCTACTCGTACTAAAATTTTAATGTTATTGATTATATCTTTGTTTTTCTGATACATAGAATGAAGCAGACATAGTTTTTCCTCCTGGCTATAGTGCAAGTAAGCCAATCAGCTGAGCAGCAGTGTGCATTATTAACTCAGAATATATAATCACTAGACTTAGATTTATTTTGTCAGTTTGTATACACGAGTGTATAAAAAAAGAAATTTCGTTTAAAACAGGTCTAGACAATTTAGATTTAAATTTTAAAAGTGCTGCCTTGAAAAACACTAATAAATACATAAAAAATAGTATTATAAACATATATATAATATATATGATGATAGATAGATAGATAGATAGATAGATAGATAGATAGATAGATAGATAGATAGATAGATAGATAGATAGATAGATAGATAGATAGTGTTTAAATACAGATATTAACATTGTCATCATCTTTTCTGTTATTTCTGCCTTACTGATCAATTCTAATATCTCACTGGATGATTACTAGACCTCATATGTTGGAAACCAAAGTATGAAAAACTTATTAAAGTGCAAAACTATGGGATACTTTACTTTGGTGCATGAAAAATACACTAATTCAGGCTTTTGTTTATCTGGCAGGATAAAGG